CCGTACACCACCTTTAAGGTGAATTTTTTAAAATTAATTTTTTTGAATGAAAACATACTTTAGTCAGGGTTTTCATTACTTTTTCAACATTTTTTTCGGTTTATACTGTTCTGGACAAAAGCAACCAGTCAAGTAGTCTTTCCAACACTTTACCGGCTTCACCTTCGTTTTTTTTTCTGCTCCTGCAACAACGGCCGAAGCAGAAAGGTTATTCTCGTCGGCGAAAAATATTCTCACAGATAATAGAAAATTACTGAACGCAGAAAATTTTTTCCAAACTTCTTTTTTTCAGAATGTAAAATTGATGGGATTTCATCAACAAAATTCAAAAATTGCTTTTTGTTGTTTTTGTTGTTTTTGTCAAATAAACTGGTAATTTTTGACTAATTGAAATTCGAGAAAATTCGAGAACTCGATTTTCCGAAAAAAAAAGTCGAGAACTCGATTTTCCGAAAAAAAAAAGTCGAGAAAAAATTCGAGAACTCGATTTTCCGAAAAAAAAAGTCGAGAAAAAATTCGAGAACAAGTTTTTCCGAATTTGTTTTTCCGAACAAGCCTGATGTATACTCACTAATTATTATCAAACCTGCAGAAGTTGACGGTCTTCCAGAAGCTTTATTCGATTCCACGCTGAACTTCAGATGTGAATAGTTGTCCGGTAGAAGAAACGCCGTACCTTTTTCATTCATTCTTAATTAATTGAAATAAATGCAACATAATCGAAATATGACTTACTCACAATGTACCACCGTGCCGTTAAATTCATACGACAAAGAAACAATCGCCTCGTCGGGAAGCAGAAAAGCAGGTTTTACTGAGCTTGTGGCGAGAATTCTTCGAGAAGGCACAAAACTGACTTTTTTGTAATGCATTTTTATTCGGAGTAGTTTAGACATTTTCGGACACAAATCAATCTAACAAGGGAAGGTTTTTCAGACAACGGTTGAGAATTTGCCCAAAACTCGTATACTTATAGTTTAAGACATGCTCTATACGATGACGAAAACATTTTTAGCCCGTTCTCACTCGTAGGCTGAAAAACTTTGTCTGAAAATTTTGATTTCTCCACGCAGCCGATCTCGGCTTCCCCCTCCCTGCTCTACCAAATACGCGTGAGAAGAAAATGTCGGTTGTGTGGTGTTGTGGTAAGAGGTGGCTCATTAGGAGTGACTATGGTGGTTCGAACCCCAATGGGGTAAATCTTTTTTTGCTTTTTTTGAAACTAATTTTTGATTTCTAGTTTGCCCCCCTAGGCACTATGTGACACTTTTTGATGAATTCAAAAGGTTTTCAAAGTAAAAAAAACGATTTTATGAGAGTTTGATGAAAAGTTAGATAATGGTCTTTTTAACCGGGCATTACATCATCCTATCGTTAAAAACGGAAGCTTCGGCCTCTGAAAACTGATCAATTTTGTTTTTTTCGAGATGGGATACTGTTAAGTTGATTACTTATAAGATTTGAGTCTATATCTATAGGTTTCAGTTAATTTCAAGCGATATTTAAGAAGTTAGGGAAAGTCAAAGTTCTAACAACAATCATACTTTGGGGATTTTTTGAGCCCAAAGACAACATTGGGCTGTCAAATTTTGTCAGGATGCTATTTTTATCGTTTCTGAATAATTGGAACATTTTTTCGAACTTTTCAAATAATTTTCAAAAAATCACTTTCGAAATGGGGGGGGGGGGCCCCATGGTGATTTTTTTTTCAAAAGTTTTCAAAAAAAATATTTTTCAAAAACTGTTTCAGAAGATAGAAAAATGTTCAAAAATTAGTTTCGCACTCAAAAAAACCCTGTAAAACTAATTTTTAGCCTCGAAAAATGCATGTTTTTGGTCAAAATTTAGTACTGAAAGCACTTTCAGAGGCCATATTTCGACTTTTTCTGAGAACGGGCTAAAAATTTTTTCGAATTCTTATTCAGCATGTTCGAAAGTACCTTTGTACAAATTTTGAGCAAATTCTCAACCGTTGTCTGAAAACCTTCCCTTGTAAAGACAAATAATTTATTGAATCGATTGAACACCATAAGCCACTCATACTATGCAATGTAAAAAAAAGAGAAACAGGGTCGAGAGGAATAAAAGTATGAAATACTTTATTAAGAATTTTTATTAGAAAAAAAAGAGGAATACGATTAGAAGTTAGTGTAATTTAATAAGAAGAAAGTGGAACAGTTAAACTTTTTGAGGTTAGTTTCAAGACGACGATTGTTTGATACAAATAAACCGATTGATCAAGAGAGTAAAAACATTTTACGGATCTGTAAATTATTTCAACTCCCCCCCCCCCCCTCGAAATCAACTCTACAAATTAACTCAAAGTAAATTTTTTGTAATGAAAAATCAATCACCAAGAAGTCAATAAAAATATTTGGTGCGGAATAGCGGAGTGTCGTTGCTTGGGAAGAGGGGATAGGGCTGGAGGGGCCACAACTTCTAGAATTAGAAGTATTTTTTACGTAATAAATACAATACAATACAATTAGAACTGTTGAGAGTCGTTTAACTTTCAACAGTTTACCTCATTTGAATGAATTTTTAAAAAAGTAGTCAACTACAAAGTTGAAGTTCATTTTTTGTTCAGTTCAACTTTAACCACTTTCAACAATTCCAGAATCGCACTATTCCACATTTTTTAGTTTCAACTTGGTGTCTGTTCACCTGAAACAGCAGAATCGGTTCTCGGAAATTCAAGGATACTATTCTATGTAGTCACTGAGAACATTCAGAACCATAGAAATCATTGATGGATTTAGGAAAGAAGCTCTATGTATGTAAGGATGCCCAATAGGCGCTTTATCTCTCAATTAAACTCGACTTTTATTTTTAAACATTCTTAACTCTTTCACGATTTTTATATGTATTCAGAAGTATGGTTATGTTAATTGAGCCTGATTATGCACGAGATCCAAACCAGCTGCTCCCAGATGTCACCATTCGTCCCAGGGAATTTTATCATCCCATTTGAAAACGCAAAGGAACTTTTGTTCTCCGCGTCACTTCTAAAAATTCCAAACCACCACCAACACCATCAAACTTCAGAAACCCATAAAACTAATCCGTCTTCGTGCATTCCTCCAACTTTTTTTCCTGCCACCGCAAACTCCTTATTCTCCTTCTTATGCTAATTTTTCTTCCACCATTTTTTACTTCCTTTCTCTTCTCTTCACCACATCTTTTCCATCTCCCATTCCGTTCATCATCTTCAAAAAAAAAACTGCCCTTCGAAGCACAAAAAGAGATGAAGAGAGCATCGGAGCAGACGCGTAAGAGAGGCGGAGCTCCGGAGAGGAGAGCTCAAATCGCATTTGTCGTGTCCTTCGTAACTCGTTAGCACTGCTCCCGGGAAAAGGAAAAAGCGAAAGAAGGGGGGCACTTTTTCGGCACTTTTCCTTTTTTCTCATCAACAAGTCCCTTTTATCTCATCTGGAAAGAGATGGGTGAATAGAGAGAAAAGAGAAGAGAGATGCTCAATTTGATCTTATTTGGAACAAAATGTTCTATTTAGAGATTCATTCCTCCCTTTTTTTGAGAAGAAGCTTTTTTTCTTTTATTTTCCAAAGTTTTAAGTTGGATCATTTCCAGTGTTTGTGAGCTTTCTTAAAATCGGGTGGAGAAATGTTTTCTGTTCCAATGAAGTGCCAAAGGCTTATCTGTTCGAATGAATACTAATACAACCCCATTTCGTGGAGTCACAGAACTATGATAAAAAAATCACCTTTTTACAGTTATTTTGACGGTCTAACTTTTCTCCAGTCAAGCAAAACAAAAATTAATAATACACCAACTTTTTACTGTTCCATGAAGGGAACGAACTTTGTTAACTTTTGAAATATTCCAGTACTTCGCATATTCCTGTAGTACTGAAAATTTCCTAAGTATTTTTGAGTATTTCTCAATCGTTCAGTATTTGTATTTTCGAAGTTCTGGCCAATATAAGATACGGAATTATCAATTTCAGGTTGTCTAAACTTCTTTGCTGCATCATCATTTCGAGAGTCTGTACAGAGGCCCCTCTACTTGCACTTTGAGCTCAATTATCTCATTTTCTATAAGAGATAACAAAACTCTGTCAACTTATATAATGCTTGTCATAATGACACCAACATTTTATCAGTTAACATGTTTTTGACACATCTTCCAGAAATGGAGATAATTGAGCTCAAAGTGCAAATATAGGGTGGCCTTCTATTAGAGTGTTTGCGGTACATGCTAGTCCTCATCAGAAGCACATTTCATATAGAGAACTTCTTGTTTCCGTGTAGTTTATCTATCATTTTTAAATTGATTTCTAGATCGAAAGATTCCCTTCTATCTGTTCTCCATTCTGTAGCTTGTATTCTTTAAAATTCCGAAACCTCACTGATTCTACTTTTCTCATAACGTTGAAAATGTTTGAAACGGTCTAATTTAAAACGAACAACACGATGTTCTTTTTTTTCGGATGATGCGTTCAACATGACGTTTCGAAAAGTTCAGATCCACTCTCTTTGAATCCATTAGCGACGATCACGAATAGTTCCGGTTCACATTCTCCTCTTCCTTTTCCTCTGCATTTCTTCATTTCTCTAACTCCATCTGCCTCCTAGGAAATCAAATTATCAAGCTGCCTTGGTTTTTTATCAGAAATGTAAATCATTCCGTTTCATAACTAACATATTTCTCATGATTTTGAAAGTTGAAATGTTGAAGTTGATGGAATCTAACGAGACCTTGAATTTTAATTTTTTTTGAAATGAGTGGATTCATTCCTTTTTTCTTCTTCCTCCTTCTAGATTTTTTTTCACTCTTCCAGATAAATTGATAAGTTGATAGCTGTAATGTTTTTAGTTCTTAACTTTCACAAAATTTTTGCAACAGCGGGAAATCTCCTTCTATTGAGTCTGAACTCTTTCTTGTGCTTAATCATAATTTCCTAAAACTGTAATATTTTTTTTCTAATTTTTTTCACTCTCTCAGTTTTCTTTTCCCAGAATTCCAAAAAATAGCCACTCAATCAATAATTGTCAAGAATTCTTCAAATTACCTCTTTTTCAAAATGAAACCTTTAAAAAAATGTACAGCTGATTTTCCATACAACACATATTAGCTAAAATCTCAATGACCAAAATCGAATGAAAAAACTACTAGCTAATTATCTCTCAACACCATCTCAACTCAACCTATAATTAGCTTTCTCTCTCGCTTGGATTTCTCGCCGTTTGTTATTTCATCATTTTGTACACACACTCCCCCACCTTTTTTCTATTTTTTCTTTTCTTATTAACATCCTTTTTCTGAAACTGGCTGATTTTTTCAGTACTCGTTGTCCCTCTGAAAATCCTGAAAACTTGAAAACCTTGAAATCTAAAAGCCCAAAAATCCAGATAATGATTGAATCACAGCTCGCGCCTTTCTTTTCCTGCTTCACGTTCGCAAATTTAATAAAAAAATCATGCGGTGCGGTGAGTGGTCGAAAGAGACAGGGAGCTCTATTGCTCAGCTTGAAACACCTGTCTTTTGACTGAAAAAAAACAACGTCATCTCTCTTTTTCTATGGATATTGTGCTTGTTATTCATACACACTCATAATCGGGACTATCGTGGGACAAATTGGCTATTTTCAGAGTGTGCTATAGAGAGCGAACGAAAAAATAAAATGAGGAGGAGGAGGAAGAGGAAGAGGAACAGAATTTTCATGTTGACCACAGTTTATTGGTAACTTTTTCACTGAATTTGGTTGAAATAGTAGATTGCCGTAAACACTAAAATAGAATTTCCAATAATCATCAAGTTGGAGCCAATTGATCTAGGTTCATGGGAAAGATATCAAAAAGTAATAAACTGAAACTTTGCTGAGCACAAAATTTCACACATTTTTGTAGTTTCGAAGTTCTTCATAGCTACCGTAGTT